AAGCTACTTATAGGAAAATTCATCAACCGAAAAATTAGTGTGATTCAAAATTTCAATTCCAAAATATATTAAAAGTTTTCTTTGAAGAAGGTTAACTTCATGCTAAAGAGATAAGAAGAAATAATTCACATGGAAAATTTCACTTTTAAGTGGCTCAGTGTCTGCAAACTGTCGACACAGCCGCTTGCTCTTGAAGGGAATTCATGCATTGTCTTGACATGTCCTTTTACTCTGTGAATCTCAAATGTCAAGTGAATGGGAGTTTCCTTTCCCTGCATCTCTTTCTTCATTAAAAAGCTGTAAAACTTCTCTAATGCAAGACACTAAACTAAGATTTATATCTTAGATTCTTAATTGAGACCATCACTGGGTTCTTACTTTGCTGAATGCAACCTTCTCTTCCAGTTGATTTCCAAAATCAGAATCTAACTGATGCCACATATAAGAAAACATTTGCCAGAAGAGTTTTCTAAATCACTCTAAAATGTAATGTTTTGAGGATGAACAGATTATCAGCCACCTAGGACTTTTTAGCAGTCAAGCTAAGTTTTGTTCTAAAAACAGTTGATTTTTCACTTTTACTATTGAGAGGTGAGTGAGATAGGAAAATACTTGAATTTTTGAATCTATAATTTAAATTTATTATATTTGTAATAAAATGTATTCTATGTGATTATTTTAATCAATTTACATATGTAATACATGTCACATATAAACTATACTTACATTAAATATAGTTATGATTTTAAATATAAAGCATTTTATTTTCATATAACAAAATATTTATTAAATATCCCAACCTTATGTCTAGGACAACATTGGAATGAGGTTTATGCACCTGAGCACAGGTGGTATGCTCCCTATGAACCGTGGTGACCTTCAAGGCACATCTTCTGGTCTCTTTACATCTATCCTGGTCTCTGATGGAGAATTCTAGATCAGTGTGTCCACCTCCACCATACACATCCAAGACAAGAAGATACCCATGGGAAGCTGTGTTTCAAAGATTTTCTGAAGAGATTCCACCAACCTTAAATGTCTGCACAAACAACCTGTGAACATTTGTAAGGATAGGATGAGGGAGACTGCAACCACGATGTGGACAGTGGTTCCAGGCCTGGCTGGTACCAGAACTGCCTCGATAGCTTTGGAAAATACTGCATCTGTTGACCCACCTGAATTAATAGACTCAGACTCTGGGATGAGCCTTCATGTCTCACTCTAGACTCAAGTTTATTTTTAATTTTTCCTAATGACATTATTTTACTAATATTTCACTGGTGCATATGAAAGAAAGTTCCTCTCATTTCACCACACCGTTGAAGGTCTAAGATCTGAAATTTCATGTAACTTCCTTTCATAATTCCCTAACCTTCTTTCATAAGCAAATATTTATTTGTGTTATAACTTTCTGTGACAAATTTTTCCACTGGAATCTTTGTGTTTTTTTTTAAATCTTTGGCTTGAATTTATGTTTGTAACATTTAAATTTTTTATTCATAATTACTGTAGCACATTTGTCAACGGAGGAATTTTGCTTCCTAATTTACATTAAGAAGAGATGCATATTAAAGTTTTATCAATATTTTTTCTATTAAAAATTTAAATAATAATTATTAGTGTTCATCATTGAAATATGAAACAGAATATCTGTACTCATGTTTATTCCATTTACAGTTTTTATGTCATAAAAACAACAAAGCTGTTTGTTTAACTTATAAGTTAATAGCAGAGCACATCATGTGAAATGCCAGGCTGGATGAGTTATAAGATAGAATCAAGTTTGCAGGGAGAAATATCATCAACCTCAGATATGCAGATGATACCACTCTAATGGCAGAAAGCAAAGAGGAACTAAAGAGCCTCTTGATGAGGGTAAAAGAAAAGATCATGGCATCCAGTCCCATCACTTCATGGCAAATGAAGGTGAAAAGGTGGAAGCACTGATAGATTTCCTCTTCTTGGACTCCAAAATCACTGCATATGGTGACTGCAGCCATGAAATAAAAGATGATTGTTTCTTGGAAGAAAATCTACGAGAAACCTAGAGAGTATAATATAAAGACATTGCTTTGGCAAGAAATACTGTCAAAGCTATGGTCTTTCCGGTAGTCATGTATGGATGTGAGAGTCGGAACATAAAGAATGCTGAGCATCGAAGAATTGATTCTTTCGAATTGTGGTGTTGGAGAATACTCTTGAGAGTCCCTTGGACTGCAAGGGGATCAAACCAGTCAATCCTAAAGGAAATCAGCCCTGAGTACTCAATAGGAAGGACTGATGCTGAAGCTGAAGCTCCCTGGAAAAGACCCTGATGCTGGGAAAGACTGAGGGCAGAAGAGGGCAACAAGGGATAAGATGGCTGGATTGCATTCACTGATTCAATGGACATCAGTGAGTTCAGTCGCCCAGTTGTGTCTGACTCTTTGCGACACCATGGACTGCAGCAAGCCAGGCCTCCCTGTCTGTCACCAACTCCCAGAACTTGTGCAAACTCATGTCCATCAAATCAGTGACGCCATCCAACCATCTCATCCTCTGTCGTCCCCATCTCCTCCTGCCTTCAATCTTTCCCAGCCTCAGGATCTTTTCCAGTGAGTCAGTTCTTCACATCAGGAGGCCAGAGTATTGGGGTTTCATGAACCTGGGAATTCCAGGAGATGGTGAGGGGCAGGGAGGCCTGTAGTGCTGCAGTCCATGGGGTCGCAAAGATTCAGACAGGACTTGGCGCCTGAACAACAGCAACATAAAACGTTCTTTTGGTTTCCACATGTAAGTCAAGGGGTAAACTAAGAGCAGAGGTTTATTCTCTGAGCTATTTCAGAGTTATCTCAATGAGAGCTATGAACAGTGCTAAAAACAATGCTAAATCCTGGATCTAAATTTTCTTTTTTGATCTCCTTTTCACAAATTAGGAACCTGAGACTTGGGAGGCCAAGTAATTGCAGAAACCAATAAAACTAGCTTATAAATGTCAAAGCCTGTGAAGGCAAAAGCAAATTCTAGAAGTACATATATACATAAAAGTGCTTTCAGACTCTGTCAGGCAATGGACTGAAGCATGCAATATTTAGTATTGATTTAGTCATTAATATAAGTTTTACTGACTATAGAATTAAAATTAATGTAAGTAAGGTGTGCAGGGCTCTAGAAAAACTCAATCGTATATACTCAACATGTCAACTGATACCACAGGCAATACATCAGATTATTTATTCCCTTTGGCAAGTGACTGGATTAATTCAGCCACAAATTTGAATCATGGTTCTTATAGTAGATTGCCTGTTGCCTAGTAGGCTCATAAGTGTCTATTATGTTCATTATCACCTCTTACTGAACAGGGTAAGGAGTGAGATTCATATATACTTTTGAACCGTCTTATTTAAAATCATTTTCTTGGAGGGGAATGGAGGCATTTCGCTACAAATCAAAATAGCCGGTCAGCAGGACTATTTGGGCTGCTTGTTTCACTCCACTTTATTTTAAGACATATCTAAGGAAAGCAATATATTCCTGCTGTCACACCGGTTTTCCTATTTTGAGTAGTATTTGTGGAGTAATGGATCATTCTTTTCGGGAAACTTTCTCAGTCCTCTCATACAGAGTTCTAAACTTCTGAGACGGTTAAAACAAAGATTACTCAGGGTCTGCCCTTGGAAAATAGAAGTTTGCAATAAATGGGTTTTTGTCTCAAAGTAGTCAGGGGAACAGGAAATGCAGCCAAACAACTGTGTCAAGTGAGGCATGAAGAAAAGCGATTTCAGCCTCTGGACTTAAGGGCGGGACGCACATGAATTCAAAATAAAAGATTACTTCAGGCTTAAAGGTTTTTAACAATGGGAGCTGATGATGAATGAAGGAAGAAGCACGCTCTTAACGATTTTTGGGGGCCAGATCAACTTGACCTTTCATTTTTCATGAAGTCTTCCAATAAGTGCCTCTGCTCCATTTTTCTCTCCTAGAAGCCCCAACAATCACTGTGATTCTTGTGATTCAAATGGCCTCCTGAAACGCTTTTAGGAGGACTAGAAGGATGGAGGGAACAGTGTTGTTCAATGAGTGAGAGAAATATTCAGTGGCTGCGAACAAAGTAATAAAAGAAAACCAATGTCATCATTGAAAAATGTAATGCCATCCCATGTTTCTGGCCTTCACTGCCTACATGTGATTTTTTTTTTTTCCTCATCAAATAACAGCATAATTTCTTCTGAACTAGACATCACATCTTCCAATGCTTTCTGATATTTTAACATCCACCATAATGCTGCAAAAGTCCTTTAGTAAGACATTTTGGTATGTTAGTGAAAGATTACATGGTAGATCAGTGAAAACATTTTTGCAGGGTCTCAATTAGCTAAATGCCTAAAAATAGTACATGTGTATTCTTGTCAACAGTATATTATTATTGGAACATGTTCTGTGACTCAGAATGATACTATCAGAGAGTGCAAGGTTAGTCTTCCTTAATCTGCTCCAGGGTTCCTCAGCTTTGTGTTCAAAGAAGCAGTCAGTGTAAGCAGTGGAGAAATAAAAGTGAAATGAGAGACAGGGGAAAAGATAAAGATTTTGGAGACAGATTTAGAGGAAAAGGGGAAGAAACACCGACTGGGGTAGATGAAAGGCAATGGTACAAAAATGAGCAGAGTGATTAGGCAGAGTGAGGCTGTGGTTCGGGGGGGGGGGGGGCGGTTTAAACCATCAAACCATACCTTCATCTGATGAGATAATCACTGTGAACCTTTTTTAGCTCTTACAGAGGATACAGGATTTCATATGCACTGGGTAGTTAAATTTCTGAGATCACTAAACAATCCAAAGAGCATTTTAGTTGTCTTTTAAAGGTAAATAGCTACATGGCTGAGGAAATGATATATCAATGGTAGGTTATGACCTTGAATATGGGGTTTGATGACTGAAAATATTGTCTCAGAAGACCTTGTTAATTTGAATTAAAGATCAATTAGAGAACTGAGATTTTGAAAATTTAGACATATACTCACCCAACTGACAGGAAAGGCTCCTTTGACTCAAGTCTATGAAAAAAATATGAGAAACTTATTTTAATATCATGATGTTCTATACACTTAAAATTACTTTTACATGAATGACAGAATTATTATACTTGTTTGGAGGAAAATGCACAATTTAATTCCATTAAAACACCATAAATAATATATTAAAACCTAATCTAGACTAATTCAAATTCTCTCTGGATTAATGCAGAAGCTAAATAAGATGAGAGAGACATGGAATGGAAATGTGGCATTTAAATAATACATTAAGATAATATTGTTAGTCTAATTCTGATTTGTACTTTCTACATTTACGCATTTTCTTTTTTAGTAGTAATTTGTGGAAGTTTTAATACATCTGTTTATGGTTGTTGAAATAATGAAGTGATTTATAATGCATTTGGTTAAATATAGACTGAATAATTAATTTCCAGTGAATATTTTGTAATGAAGAGATAAGCAGCTTACCATTCATCGTCCTTTATTGGAAACAACCCCTCTTAGCGCAGGGGGAGCCAAGTTGGGGTACTCCCGCCTCCTCTGTGTTTTTTACGAGCTAGTTGTTTTTTGTGCTTCTTAACGTAGTGAAGGAGAATTATAATCCTAAAGCTTCTGGCTACTTGTGGCGTCTTGTGCATGCCAATTAAAAATCTCCTGGGGCTTACTTTTGCCACTATAATATAGGCTAGGATTGCTCTTAGCTAAATTTCTGATTTCGTAAATTAAGTGTTTGTGAAAGGTAAATGAATCAAGAAAGGATCTACTTCTAAATATTTCCCAGTTAATAGCTACAGAGACCAGCTGGTAGGTGTATACGGATCACTTCATTTTCATGTAAGTTTTTCAACTTATAATTATAGGTCAAATGTAGGCAAATATTGAGGGCATTTTAATCTAAACCCCAGTGTTTAAAAATTTTAAGAAACTTTCATTTTTTAAACTATTTTATTGATATATAAATAGTTGTAGGAAAATGTCAAGAAATTTAATTCTGTACCAATATTCACTGATCACCAGATGATTGTATTTTGACATGGACAACTCTAAAGGGATTATTTTAGATTTAAGTCAAACATCTTTACTTTTCTACAAGTCTAAACAATGAAGACACTAATCTTTTTTTTTTTTTGTCTCTGTTTCATTCTGTATATATATAAAAGGCTTATTAGAAATATGCCTTGTCCACTTACTGGATGAGCTGCTATGGCTCTCTGCCTAAAGCCCTGCTGCTTTAGTGAACAATATTATAGGAGGAAGGGACTGTTTAAGGGAGCAGGCACCCTAGAGTCCCTCTGAGCAGCAACACTTAGGAAAAAAGCAGAGAAAATAAATTTCTGGTGTTGAGTTGGAGACATATATTTATGAAACCTTTTCCCTTACTGAATTCCAATATTATTAAGACTTCCACATAAATTATTGGTCATATTATATGCTTGTTTTCCCCATATATTTATGACATGGATAGGCAAACAGATCTAAGAGAAAAACTTTGAGGATAAACAACGAAATATGATTCTTTATTTTATAACATATGACCAGTGACAAATGATCAAAAGAAATTGCCTCAAAGAAATGAGGGGGATTCTATATAACATGGTTCAGGAGACTGTTTACTTATTTGGACCATCAAATCATCAGGATATCACTGCTCCCTTATTTTTCTGTCTAATAATACTTGAGAAATAGCCAACATGTGGGTATTAATAGAATCCCTTGTCCCCGTGTTTGCCAATGATTCAAACTAAGGTCAATCAGACTTCACTTTAAGTGTGTTTTTTGCACATGTAAGGTGCTCGACCTTACAGAAAAACGTCTATTTCTGCTTGATTGACTATGCTAAAGCCTTTGATTGTGTGGATCACAATAAACTGTGGAAAATTCTGAAAGAGATGGGCATACCATACCACCTGATCTGCCTCTTGAGAAATCTGTATGCAGGTCAGGAAGCAACAGTTAAAACTGGGCATGGAACAAGAGACTGGTTCAAAATTGGGAAAGAAGTACATCAAGGCTGTATACTGTCACCCTGCTTATTTAACTTATATTCAGAGTACATCATGAGAAACTCTGGGCTGGAGGAAGCACAAGCTGGAATCAACATTGCTGGGAGAAATATCAATAACCTCAGATATGCAGATGACACCACCCTCATGGCAAAAAGTGAAGAAGAACTAAAGAGCCTCTTGATGAAAGTGAAAGAGGAGAGTGAAAAAGTTGGCTTAAAGCTCAACATTCAGAAACCAAAGATCATGGCATCTGGTCTCATCACTTCATGGCAAATAGACTGAGAAACAGTGGAAACAGTGACTGACTTTATTTTTGGGGGCTCCAAAATCACTGCAGATGGTGATTGCAGTCATGAAATAAAAAGACACTCCTTGGAAGGAAAGTTATGACTAACCTAGACAGCTTATTAAAAAGCAGAGACATTACTTTGCCAACAAAGGTCCATCTAGTCAAAGCTATGGTTTTTCCAGTAGTCATGTATGGATGTGAGAGTTGGACTATAAAGAAAGCTGAGTGCTGAAGAATTGATGCTTTGGAACTGTGGTGTTGGAAAAGACTCTTGAGAGTCCCTTGAATAGCAAGAAGATCCAACCAGTCCATCCTAAAGGAAATCAGTCTGGAATATTCATTGGAAGGACTGATGCTGAGCTCCAATACTTTGGCCACCAGATGCAAAGAGCCGACTCATTAGAAAAGACCCTAACCCTGATGCTGGGAAAGATTGAGGGCAGGAGGAGAAGGGGACAAGAAAGGATGAGATGGTTGGATGGCAACACTGACTCAATGGACATGAGTTTGGGTAAGCTCCGGGAGTTGGTGATGGACAGGGAGGCCTGGCGTGCTGCAGTCCGTGGGGTCACAAAGAGTCAGACACGATTGAGCAACTGACCTGAACTGAAGGTGCCAGTCTCTTCTCTCTCCATTTCCCATGGCCTCAGCTGGCCCTGTGCCTCTCAGTGCTGTGTGCTTCTTAGCACTGAGCAAAGTAGCGAAAGAATGTGAAAACATTGAATGTCTGACTCCTCTTTCCTGCTCCACATCTCAGTTAGCAATGCTCAGTAAGCTTTTCTTTTATGTTGCTCTTCTCTCTCTCATCACTCAGTTCCCAGGCTGTTCTCCTCCCTTATCCCAGCCTGGTCTCTGCACATGTAAACTCTTTGTTCAGAGTTGCTCCAGCCTGATGCACTTGACTCACACTAAGCTTCCTTCCATATTGCTGCCCACACCACTTGTTTAAGGACTGCATTATGTCATTTTCCTTGTAGGCATCAAGTGCGTGTTAGTTGCTCAGTCATGTCCGACTCTTGCGACCCCATGGACTGTATGTAACCCACCAGGCTCCTCTGTCCATGGGATTCTCCAGGCAAGAATATTGTATTGGGTTGCCATTAATAGAAGCAAGACCCACCACTTGCCTTTCCCTGTGTGATTACTAAAATGCTGAATTTAGAATGTGTTTAAAATAATTATTGATTGATTTTCCTTTTTTTTCCCTGAAGGTTTCATGTAAGTAGCTGGTAGATTGGAGCATATAAGGTACATATGTTGCCCCCGACCCCAGTGGTTAATATGATTAGTCTTACTAGTTAGTTAACCTTCTTCCACTTTTACCACATCACTCACCACTTCAACTATCTCCTTCCGAGTTCTCAACCGAAGATCTCAGAAGAGAATCCAAAGTTTTTGGAATGATGCTGGACAGCATTCTGACTGATGTGCTTGTTATAAACTAAGGGTTTGCAAATCCTGCTCACCACCTGGTTTTACACAACCCACAAGCTAAGGGAGTTTTTTAAGCTTAATGGTTGGAAATAGCAAAAGAAGAAGAATATTTTGTGAACTTTTGAAAATTCACATGAAAATTATATGAAATGCCAATTTCAGTGTCCATAAATAAAGTTTATTGGTACACAGTCATGCTCATTCATTCATGCATTATCTAAGGAGGTTTTGTGCCATAATAGTAAGTTGAGAGTGATTGAAACAGGAACTTTGTCTTAAGATATTTACTATATGATCTTCACAGAAAAAAGGTGCCATTATGTGAAAAATAATAATGTTGGAAGGAACTAGAAACAACTCAAAACTGGCACTCTTTATTTTGATACAGACTTCAAAGTTCAAATTAATTTGCATTTCTTCTCTATACCACCAAGTCAGTCTCTGAGCCTACTAAAAAATTAATTTCCCTAAAATACAAATTTCATGTTACCACTTTTCTTGATAATGTTAATAACCATAGAATGATGCCCAAACTTTCCAGCTTGCCATTTGAAAGCTTTTCACAAACATGCCTCATATCAACTTTCCTTGTTATTTTTTTTAATCATTTCTCTTGCCAACCACATTATTGCAGGAGATTTGTCTATTTATAGCCCAAACAAATCTGGTTTAGCTTTGTTTTGGTATAATTTTTGCTCCTATACTGGAATACTGTTTTCCCCTTCCTTTCTCTATCATGCTCTATCTTTTGAGTTTATCTAATTTAAAAAGTCAGTCCTGACACCTTCATCTTCCAGGGACCATCCTGTCTCTAAGCTTCTATTACTTATTATCCCTATCACTATGTCATAGTCTCAGGACATTAATCCTGGTTAATAGGCTAACTGAGAGTTTCATTAAGACTGGTAAGAATATTAAACTTGCATTTCTGCTTGGATAAGAAGTCCTGACACTCTGTGTTAAGCTTTCCAATGGGCTCACGTAGGATGTACTTGCCAGTGCTATATGAGCTGAGCAGAAAGGCAAGATTATTGTCCATTAGTCACTATAAGTCATGAAGACAAGGTACCAGGACTTCCAAGCACTTTCAGTGGTGACGGGGGGCAGGAAATCTTAGTGGGGAGCACTGCCAGAAAATCCTGTCTCGCGTCTTACCCTCAAGATGATGGCACACAGCACAGGAAAAGGACAGTTGACCCACACTGAACCCCGCTGCGCTTTGTGACCAACTATTCGGTCGTTGCTCATTACGTGAAGTCAGCGTTTCTCACCTTGAGATGATTCGAGCCTTA